TCTCCTCGCTCAAATGCTTGGCTATCTCCCCTACCAACTGAATCCGCCGACAAAAGACGGCGTGTTTACCTCTTACCGCTCCCCTACACCTCCCCAGGCCAGATTTGGCCACGTACTGTCAGCTACCTGATTGACATGTGGCCGAGATGCGCCACTGCCAAAGGATGCCATTGCTTTGGCATCACTTGCGGGGATCAACCTTCTAAATTGCACACCCCCAGGCTAGGTGATGATTCAATCTCACTCAGAACATGACACGGGTCATCGCGCTGGGCCAGCTTGTGAGGCAACATCAAACCAGACCGGTTTAAGCTGCCAGCTAAAGTAGCCGAGCACTCCCAATCTCATGGCCACCCGCGGCAAGGCGAGCGATTACGCGCCTGTGGAGGCCCAGCGCATCCCCACGCCTCTGGTAGCCCGCAGCCTGGGGGTGAGAAGAGAACCAGGATCGTTGGGGAAATTGGGGAGTTTGGATACAGGTCGGGTCATGTCTCATGCTTCCGCTTTGTCCCACTTCCTCTTTGGGTTTTCTTTTGCAGCCGATTTGGAGCCACCCAACACTTACCCCTTAAACTCCAAACCCTGGAGAAGTTAATATTTTACAGACATATAGCCCATGTTACCCCCAACAAGTTGAAAAGCTGTGTTTTTAAGAGGTAAGAACAAGAGCCCAGAGCCGTGAGAAGGGCGAGGTCCAGGAACCGAGGACACAAAGCTTGGGCACTGGACCCCTCCAAGTTGATAAGTGAAGGGAGGAGCTGTCGGAGCGATCATTTACCATCAGGCAAGGCCAAACGTCAGCCGATAGGCAACATTCAGCCTTGAGCTGCGCCGGCCCCATTTTTTGCACCCTTCCGTCAGCTTCATTCAAAGAAAGCTAAAATGCTTCAAAGGCGATTGCTTTGATGCAAGACTTAAGCCAGGCCCACACACACACACACAGCATGTGATTTCTTGGTGCTGGGGGACTCTTGTCTTACTATGACTATGTGCTTTTAAAGAGTTTAGACTCAGCTTCTTTAAAGATTTCGGGGGACATGTATCAACATTGTTTGTCGTGTTTGGTTCCTGACACGAACCGAGCAAGTACTGGTGGCATATCGCAAACAACAAGACGTTTGAAGGGCAAAAAGGCCTACCAAGTCTGGGTGGCATGAAAACAGGGTGGTGCGTTCTGATGTTGGTTTTACACATTGGTGTCACTGGCCGTGATGCATGTTTGTTCTTCCACAGCGGAGTTGACATTGCAGCCCACAGCTTTTTGCTGGTGCGACTTGGCCGGCGCAATGGGCAGCACTCAGACTCAAAGGGTGCGTTCTGCCATATCTACTCTGCTAAACCTCCACACAAAGCTCTCATGGGCGCCTTGGAGTTCCACGCCAGCTTTCCGGAAATGACATGGCATCCATCCCTGGAGCAGGAACGCTGGTAAGTTTATACGGTGCGGAGTTTTTCCCTTGGGCCAGGGTGCATGGATCTCCTGTTCCAGCACCCGCAGCAGGCGCCAGTCGTCCCTCTTGCAGCAGGCGTGCTTCAGCTGCAGACAGCTCCCAGCATGCGGGTGTTGCAGCGGCCTCGCGGCTCCCAGAGTGTCGGCGGGGGGAGGAGGTCAGAACCGATGTTGCATGATGTTACACTGCACTATGCTGCATTACATTCTGCTACATTCAATTGCATTGTCTTCCGATACCTACATACAACTACACACACATATATTATATTACAGCATGATACGTTACACTTGCGCTTCACTACATTACGCTACATCACATTATGTTGCACTACAATACAACACATTTCATTCCATTATGCACGACTTTGCATTACATGCATCGTGTTGCACCCCATCACATGTCATTCCATTGCATTCCCGTATAATTATTGCACCTGTTTCAAGACATGCATGCATATGTCACATCACCTTACATCGCATTGAGTTATGTTGCGCCATAAGATGTTACATTACATTATGTAATGCATGCATACAACACACTACACTGCATCGCATTACAGTACGTTGCAAAAATACACACCCGCTGTCAAGCAAAATTGTACCAGTGGCCGCACGGTTAGGGCGTTGGGGCAACGCAAGGAAAGTGCAAGCAAGTGGCCGCAAAGCGCTTTGTCAGCTGCCTTGCCGACTTGGCCCTTGTGTGGAAATTCTGTGAAAGAAAAGCCGAGTCAAGCTCGGGCAAGTTGTCCGAAGCATGGCCTTCCAGCCCAATTTTGGCATGTTCAGGGAACAGCCACTCGTAGGGGTAGACATTCGAAAGCTGAGGCTTTGGCTCACGCATCCCGAAACGTCTTGCACTTTTCACGGTCGCCTCGGCCATGGCAAAACGGTCGCCTTGGCAGCTGGGCCAGCGCGAAGGGCTGTGATCTTGCAAGCGCACCCACCATCTCCATGCCACCTGACTGGCAGAAAAATCAACCAGGGGCAAATGCGACTCCTGGAGCTGAAAATACGTTCGATCCCAGCACAAAGACACCTTGGGTGAGCTTGCCAGCTTTTGAGCTGCAACACAGTCATGGCATGTGGCAAGCCTGCAGACTATTGGGTGACAAGGGGCTCAAGCACCGTTCCGCCTCAACTCAATTGGTGTTCAACGGATTTCGGCAAGCCACAGCGTACTGAAATAAAGCAGAGGGCATGCCTTGGAAGGCCATTCCAGTGACCTTCCAATGGTGTTTCCATGTTTGCCAGATTGTCTAGTTCACCCTCAATGAAATGCCAATGCGCGTCCACTGCTTGTCCATGAGAATGCAATTGTTGCGCAAGCCCGCCAGGCTCAAATAATTCTGAAGTGAGTGCGTGGAGTCTACTGGGCCCCTAGCTTTAATTGCAATGAGGTTCCCCTTCCAGCAGAATGGTTGGAACCTACTCGAAGCATCTCAAACCCACGAGCCCAAGAGACCCCATTCGCAGCCGCCTGTTTGCCAAGATCGCATCCTTAATTTGAAAGCCGGCGGCGCCACTGGCAGGAGAGCAGCTGGTGAAAATAGATTACAGGCGCACCAACCTAAGCCCACCAACCAACCAGGAGGTCTAAACACAGGCAGCACGTCAACGAAGCAGGAGTTGCAGGTGGGCCAAACAGAAACATCTGGTGGCACGGTCTTACCAGAAACTCGTCCCAACTGCGTTCCCAAGGCTAGGCTGCGCTACGCTTTGCAGGCCAGCAGAGCGGATCTGTCCTGTGGAAGTGCCTAGCCGCCATGACAAGAGGAATTCAGGACATCCATGAAAAACATCTGCAGTGGAAGCGTGATTCGACGAAAAGCACAAGAGCACGGCCGCATCATGTCATTTAAGGAAAGTCAGAAGCTTTCATCGGGGGTCCATGTGAGGGCCAGCCGGCAGCATAAACATGTTTATGCACTATTGTCGAAACGGTCTTTGTTGGCTTCCCTTTGAAGGGCAGTCTGGTTGTCTCAACTGATTTTGCCCAACCCGCCTAGCGACAAAATTCGTCCGTCCCTCGCGCCTTTGGGCAGGTGCGGGCCCGCGTGAAACATGGCGCCGCGCAAAGCCGGGCTCATTAGACTCGAGCAGTTGCGAACGAATCAGGTCGGGAAGTTGGGAAGTTGGGCCAACCAGGTCGTGTCCAAAGAAGCTTTGGAGCAAACATCACCTCTTGCGTCGTTTTTCGTGCGGTAACATTGACTTGTTCAACCATGGGTCGTACTGTCGGTGAGGTTCTTCTGAAACGGGGGGTTATGGCCTAGTTTAAACCGATTGTTTCCGCTGCAGGTCAGAGCCGCCGAACATGTCAAAGTAACTCTTTCTGACGGCAACTTGTTGCTTGCGCATCCGGACTGGTCAATGGGCCGAGTTTCATCGGATTTGTCCACGAAGAGTTGGAGGGAAAACTACGTCAACCCGAAGTGTCTAAGGCGTAAGACCACGTGCTGCCAGGGGTTGTGCTTGGTTGGCCTGGACAACAGCAGCTGGAATAAGCAAGGTTCCCTCCATCTGTTCAGCCGGCGTCGCTTCTGCGGCTGAAACGAGTGAAAGGCCATGCTTCCGTGTCACATGCCTCCTGAGCCCACGCTTGCGCTGCCAAAAATGAAACCTGCACGTTTTCGAGTGCGAGAAACACGTCCAATATGGCAGCATGCACTCGAATTTGGCTGGTGTTGCAAAGCCTACCGTTGTGTTTCCGTAGCTCTAGGCCACTACAATTGCCTTTGTCAGTGATCTATTGAAATTACGTTTAAAGTATTGTTTGCAACGCTCCTCTTCCTTGTTTTCTATTTGTATCACGAATCCTTTTTAAACTGTTGGGTTTGGGGAAAAGGCAGGCAGTCGTTGATTGCAAGGAGCTGCTGGTTGCCCCCGACCTTTGGTCTGGGACCGCTGGTTATTTCCAACAGCGCGTGGATGACGTTGTGACTCTTTCACGTACCGCCATGCAAGACGCTGCCAAGTGTCCAAACCTTTGTTGATGACGAACCCTTTCCTTTGCGCCACTGCCACTCTGTTTTAAAGCTGGACAGGGACTCGTGACTTCAAGGCCTAGCATTTACCCACAGGTCTGAACCTGTGTTCGGGGGGGGGGCGGGGGCGGGCATTGCCAGGCCTGCACGCAGTACCCATGCTTCCCTGTCACACCAAGAGCAAAACGCCTTGAACAAATCGCAAAATGAGTGTTGGGTTATACACCGCTTCCTAACCAAGAACGAACAACAGCAGCAACAAGCAAACCTCCCAAAAACAAAGAGGCGGGATGCCAGGCTTGCAGTCTACCAAAATTGTACCGCAAAAGGTTTTGAGATGCCTTCAAGCTAAACGGAGCTCCGCTTTGAAACTGCCTTCGCCGCTTGCATCCCGGCTTTGCTTCCAAAGATCCTACCGTTCAGAATCCAGCCCTAACCGCCAGGAATATGGTGGGAGGGCGATCAAAAATGAAGCAGCAACGTTTGGACCAAGATGGGCCAAGAGCCGTTGGGTGCCCCCCTCGTCTCGACCACGGCACCCGCCCCGCAAGCGCCGCAAGCGCCTCGCAGGACTCCCCACTGCCCAGCGCCCAGCGGGGCTGGTCTTGGCTGCCCTGAGCCACGGCGTAGCATCGTTTGCTGCAACGGCCCCATATCTTAGGAGCTAACAGCACGGTGAAAGCCATGATCTTCCATCCAATGTCGGCAAACGAATCCCCCAATTCTGCTTGTTGCATTTAGCAGGGCCCAAGAGTTACATCAAGTGCCAAAGCGATTGCCAACACTCTTGCCAATGAATGCCAGAGTCTGTTCCTTCCCTTCATCGTCCTAGGATGTCCTAGGGGTTGTACACCCCCCGGGCCCGGATTCATCCGTGCACTCGCCTGGAAACAAAAACAAAAATATTGGCCAAACAGGGAGCCAAACAGGAAGGCGCCGGAGAGGTCAGAAAGCAAGTTCCGCGTTGAGGCCCTCGGGCCCAAAGTCTGGTGATGCAAATCGTCAGGCAAATCACTTGCTGATCTTGGCAAGTTCATGCGTCCGAACTCAGGGACGACAAGCTCAAAGCAACACAGCTGAATGATGTGGGCAGCAAGGCCAATTTGGCTGATCTTGGGAAACGAGTGCACTTTCACTGGGGCAGCAACGTTGGTGAAACTGCATCAGCACATTCCAGCATGCAAGGAAAACATGCAAACACACAAAGAAGCAAACAAACAAGCAATCAAACGAAACAAACAACCAAGCAAGCAAACAAACAAGAAAGCAAGAAAGCAATAAAGAAAGAAGTAACAAATGAATACATGAAAGAAGGAATGGAAAGCAAACAAATAATCTGCAGCATGAAAAGCGGAAGAACCATACGTAATGCAAAAACAACACAACACCACATAGGAAACCACAACACAGCCGGAAGAAAAGCATACAACCGCTCACAATTAACAGCCCAAGTTTCCCCGGTCCCCGTTGTTCAAGGCAATCGACCTGGCCCCGGGCGCAAGCTGTCGCGTCCACGCCGCGGATGGATCGCAGGTCACAAGGCCTCGGGACCGAGGCCCCAGAGAGGTTTCAGGCCATTTCCACCACCCAACCTACAACTGCATCATGTTGGCTTGTGTTCCGATTCCAAACTGTTAAAGAGTTTTACCGGGATTTGTCACTCCTGTTTACCCTTCCTCCCACTAACATGGGTGCCTGGAAGATCAGTTTCCTCTTGGAGGGACTCCCTCTGAGGTGCCATGTTAGTGGGAGGGAGGGTAAACAGGAGTGAAAAATCCCGGTAAAACCCTTTAACTTTTAACAGTTTGGAATCGGAACACAAGCCAACATGATGCAGTTGTAGGTTGGGTGGTCTTGGACATACTGTCTTTTACTCCCTAGGGCCCTACAGCAAATGGACATCTCCCCAAATCATTGGTTCTACACTGGCGATGCAAGGTTGTACAGGGGATCCAGGGAACATACTCCCACAACATGTTGATGAAGGCCCGTAGGTGGTGTATGTTCATTTCGGGCATGTAAGTAGGACCTTGGGCATATCCAATGGTCTGAAGGTTCTGTAAGATGTCTAACCCAGGCTTGGAATATTGGCGCTGGCCAACCAGCCAGCAAATGCACGAGGGCTTCAGGTGAAGAAAATCCGGGGCGTTTGGCTGGCTCCCACTTTCTATGCATCGGCTGGTGTCCCCATAAGAAGCCCACTCAAGTGTTTGCTCCCTCTGTTGCCTGTGCGCCTGAAGGCCACAAATGCTATCCAGTTGGATCTGCCTTTGTGAGGCGCTTCCTCGCAGGAAACACGATCCAAAGAGCTTGTTTGAGGCGCTTTGTGGTCCACAATGTAACAGAAAATCATAGCAGCGTCGCCTTTGAGGTCACTTAAATTGAAAGCCACGCTGCATGAACACCAAATTCACTCGCCCCTCTGGTTTCAGTTGTGTTCCTAGAAGGAAATGCTGCACGCACCAGGCTCCGCCACCTTGTAGACCTACCATCCCTTGGCTGAGGAGGTGGCCCCTTCTCGTGCATCAGGGCATGCGCTGGTATCAGCTTCATCCTCAGGCAGTGGACATCTGGCCCTGTTGACCCCATTGAAGGGCCCAAATTGGCCAACAAACGGGTCCAAGCTTGCATCACGTGACAGTCATACGTGTAGCATCCTGGAACCCATTTCGTGTGCATCCAGTTGTCAGAAACTGGTTGCACATGTCTGCGGAGTGACAGGGACACACACCCACCCACCCACCCACCCACCCACCCACCCACCCACCCACCCACCCACGCACGCACGCACGCACGCACGCACGCACGCACGCACGCACGCACGCACGCACGCACGCACGCACGCACGCACGCACGCACGCACGCGCGCGCGCACACACACACACACACAACACAACACACACAACAGACACAACACACACACACACAACACACACACACACACGCACTTCATGACGCGCATGTTGGAGACACAGTTGCGAGGGCGAGCTCAATTCGAATATGATATTCATAACCTTGGCACCACCCAAGCAACTGCAATGTAGCCGGGCAACTCAAGACCAGAGCTAGGTAGTCCTGGCCTCTGAACAAAGCTCTCCCGTGCTTGGCGGATAATTCTCTTTCTTTCATGTATGATTCTGATGTGCAAAGGCGCAAATCGAGCAACTCGAAGTGCAAACAAGCACAGCTTGCTCATCTGGCAAGCGCTAACCCGGTTCACAAAATAGGACGTGCTAGAAAAGTGTCACTCAACTTACAAATCATCTTGGTGGGAGGCTAAAAACTAAGCAACAGCTGACGTGTCCCTTGGCAAAGCCAAGCTCCCAGCTGATGGCCCGTGTCAGGCCCCAGGTAGTTGATGGCAAAGCCTCACGATGGGCAGTGGCTTGTATGGCTTGTCACCCGCCTGAGCTGCATGCACCCTCAAAAGTTTGAGGGAAGTTGGTGGCCGTTTTGATTTCACACTTGGGAAGTTCCATGAAGGAATCTGCCAAAGGCCCGACCCCAGCCTGCGGTGCCCATGCTCGCCAGATCAGAAGTTGAACAAGCTGTTAGAATCTGTATGAGGGCCGCGCACACAAACTCATACACATCACACATCACACCCCGAACACAAACTTGGCCAGGGCAGCCTGTGCTGGACACCCCGCCTCCGTGGCGCCAGCAGCTCACGAACAACTTGGAAGCAAAAACACATGAGAGCCAGGAAGGTTCTTGTAAGGAGCTGGAACAGCGACCTCAAAGGTGGTGCCATCCCTTGGCACCTTGAATGACTAGCCATCTTTCTGCTTTTAACCAACAACAGCTTCTGTCGCGGGCTCCTTGGCTGCCAGTGGATTTCAGCCCCGAAGTATCAAGGGCATGTGGTTCGGCGCCGGCTCGCAGAAGCAGTTGCAGCCGTTGGATGGGAATCCGCCATGAAGGGGTCAACCAATTCAACCCACACGTGCTTCGCCACTGAGGGAAAAGAGGTGCAACCCCAAGCGTTTCCTTCCTGATGACTCCCGGACCAAGGGCTTCCCTTCGGTTCAACGAGTCGCACGTCGCGCACTGTGACGCGCCAATCCGCCGCCTGCTTGGCCAGCCGTTTCGGTGTAGCCGATCAAAATCTCCTGAGGCAAGGCAGGAGCTCAGCCCCCGTTGGCGGGTTCGGTGGGGGGGGGCTAAAACCAGGTTGATGCGGAGGAGGACTCTCGCAAGCTTTGGGAAGGGTTAGTTCATTCAGGGGGGAGGATGGTTCGCCCAATGCAAGGAACAACACGAACGAATGGCTCAAGTCAAAACCCCTAGCACCATCCACTCGACCAGTTTTTGTGATCCAAAGTCAAAGAGCCATTGAAAGGCTCCGCAAAGGTTTGCCTGGCATGACACAAGCAAGGGGGTTCATGATTAGGTGATGATGCCTCATGCACATCTGAACCCATACCTTGCACCACCTGAGCGCCACAAAAAGGCAACAAAGGTGGGGAAGCACGGGGGCCACAACGGGTTCATGACCTCGGAACCCATGGCATGGTGACGGGAAGGGTTGAGAGTTGAGAGCACCTTTTGTTTGAAGAAAGGGCCTCCCTCTGTCCCCTGCTTGCATCGAGCACTCGGAGACGTTGACGATAATTCAAACAAGATCAATCAAAACAAACCCCACCCCCAACCCACGCCCCCCACGCCCCACCCCGGCCCCCCAGGCCTCCCAGGCCTGCCAGGCCCCCCACCCCCCACCCCCCCAGCGCAACCCCCGAACTGGGAGTCCAGGTGCCCGGGCGTGGTGCCCAGCCTTGGCAGCAGGCAGGGGGAAACCTATGGGAATCCTACCCCACCCATACCCCACCTGGAGGTCTGCATTGGTTTCGGAACTCTTTGGTGAACTCATCTCTCTCTCTCTCTCTCTCTATATATATATATTTAAATACGCATGGATATGATAATTTATGTTCACCAAGTCACCAAGCATTGTTTCAGGGTGGTCTCTGTCAATGCTTCCCCCAATTCATACACCCTCGATCAATTAAAGAATGTTCAGGGGCCGGGGTCCCAAGGTCCCCGCTAAAACCAATGGTTTGCAGGACGCTTGTTCACCTTGACATTGGAGGGAGTTCGAATCACAGGGGATCAGGGATACAAATCCATAGCCATATTATGCAGAAGCCAACGCCCTTACATCATGTGAGACAGAAGGAGCGGAAGTAATCCCTTGCTTCCCGCGCAACCAACCTGAACCGCTAGCCGCTTGACACTAGTTTTTGGGCGAAACAACTGTGACCGCAATATGAACACGGCGCATCACTGTCCTTGTGGAGTTCACCTCTGCTGATAGTCATTGGAACAAATGATTGAATTCGGCCAGCTGCCATGCCCTCTGACCAAAAGACATGCCCTTGTTTGGCTCTCGTTGACATGTAGCTTGTGGCTCAAAGCCAAGCATGAATTCAGAGCGCAGATTGTCCCAGCTTGCCCCTTATGCTGCCGCGCGCAGCTGCTCTTGCTACTGAGATGGGGGGGCTGCGCACGTTCCAAAGGAGGGTGCCACAGCACAGCTTGCTAGGCATCACGCAGGCAAAATCACTGTCGGAGAGGGAAAGCTGGTGCGCTCAGTCCTCAGCTGGTTCATGGCTGTGAACCAACTGCTCCCTATCAAGTGTGCAAACAGTCTCGGCGCGCTTTGCCGCCGAGGCTCCCCAATGTGTCCTCCTTGATGATATTAATGCCATCGATCCTTGCGAGCTTGCCATGTAGATGTGAAATTTCACATCTTTCACGACCATCTCCAATTGAGGCAGATGCGCCAACCCACCCACTCACTCACTGACTCACTGACTCCCTCCCTCACTCCCTCAAAGTTCACACGCAAGCAAGAGAGGAGCCCCATGAAGCATGCTTTCAAGGCCGGCATGTTGAACTCTGGATGCTCCCGTGCAGCTCTGCCCGGCTTTTGCGCTCGTGGCTACATCCGCAAGCCTGCCCATAGCCTCTTGCAAATAAATGTGATCCGGATGGCCGCACGTTTTGAGTAGCACTTGCGAAGGGGCGGACGCGTTTGCAGAGCAGCTTTGACTTGGGGGCTTTTCAGACGGTGCTTCTCAGGCAAATCGGGGTGCGAGAGCACCCTGGCGATTTGTGACTTGTCTCAGTGATGCAAGGTTTCTGCGCACACACACACACACAAGCATCATTTTTGGACCCCCCAGTGCTTGGAACCTGTCATTGTGTTGCATGACTCAGTTCAACATTTTGGACACATTGTGTTGTTTGTGTTTTGCTTTTTGTTGTTGTTTGCGCTTGTGTTTGTGTTTGGGTGCGTGGGCGGGCGGGCGGGCGGGCGGGCGGGTGTGCGGGAGAGGCGAGGTGAGGTGAGGTGAATGGAAGTATGTAAGCGTCCCATCCTAACATAAGGTCAGTCCTTCAACGTTTGAAGGGTAGCTAAACCATGAGCTGCCCAGGAAAGCCGGAGAAAGCCATCCCGTAGGGGCCGCAGGGGTGTTTTTGGGTCTGCAAAGCTCGCAGTACAAAAACCGGATGTGGAGCAGCAAACGTCGATGCCCAATGCGCACATTGCTCAAAGAAACCTAATGGCTTTGTCTGACTCCGAGTCTTGCATCAGGCCCGCACAGCTGGTTGTACATGTTTGTATGAAGCACAACCCGCTTGAACAAACGGCTTTCCAGTCTAGATACTGTGGAAGGCCAGCCTCTTTCGAAGCTAGTGTTGCAAAGATGTGTGGGCAGCTCCTCAGCTCAGCAGCGCCCAAGCAAGTGATTTGGAAGGCGTACTGGCCTAGGCAGAAGCGCAGCATCCAGCTCAAACGCGTGTCATGGAATGACTCCTTCTTGTCCAGGTGTTTGCTTGCAGGCTGAAAGCAACCCCTGCAATATTTGCTCAAAGGTATGATCGAATCTGAATGGCCAAAGTGTTCATCTACTGTACGGTGGTCCCATTGTGCACTTTGTGACATACATAACAGCTGACGGTACAGTACACACATCCAAAGGGCGAGTATTGGTTGAGGCCAAAAAAACACCTGCAGCAAGCGCCGAGCTTAACATTGATCTGATGATTCTATGATTCTATGTTATGAGTATCCTGCGCCATGAGAATCCCATGCTAATTTATGTAGGTATAGATGCATATATGCACCTATGAGTGCATGGAAGTACCTTTCAAATGCGCATTCCCGCAGCGCAACCAACCGCACCTTCTGCACAGTGGCAACCAACATACGAACGCCAAGCAGCCGCAGAAATCCAGAAAACTGAGCCCTGAGGCATGGCACTAGCATCCTTTCATGTCCGAGAAAACAAAAAACCAAGGCTGGAAAGGGAGAGTGTGAACCAGCCCCAAGAATCTTGGCTCCACACCCGGCTGGCGAATGAAAAGAAGGCCTGGCAAGCGGAAAGACATCAGGTCACAAGGGCTGTGAAGTGCAATGCTTGACATCCCTGAGCAGAACCGTGTCCCGCAGGCCCAAGAAGTTGACATTCGACCCTTTCTCAGCAGAACCGTGTGGCACGTCCAGGTTCTCCAGCCCCAAAGCCCAGCCTTTCCACTTCATAGCCAGCGATGAGTAAATGTCCTTGGCCAGGCCCGGCCCAAAAAAGACCAATTTCAATTTCACTTCGCGGCCTGCGATTTTGCCGGCTGCTTAAAGCTCTCATGGCCTTGAAGGATAGGCCCTCTGAGACCTTGGTGGGTTGCTGAGGATGGTCGACCTCTTTTGGTGGCCCATGCAAGAATGAATTCACAGAGGGCCACTTCCAAAGACGACGGCACAATCAAATCTCAGCGGCGGTAATCACCAAATCTGGCAGAGGCTGCAACTTTGTGAGCCCCAGGAATTGCAACAGGAGAAATGGTGATATCCGTGATATCGGTGACTACTGTTGACCCCGTATGAGTATGTAACCCCCCCCCTTGAAGGTCAGAAGGTTTTCGGGGGGCAAGATTTTGGAAGGTGTTTGGCCTCCCCCCGAAATAATCTGGAATTGAGTTTCCATTGCTGGAGCTTCCTTTCGAGATCTGGAATTGAGTTTCCATTTGATTTAGTATTGCTGGAGCTTCCTTTTGAGATCTTGAATTCATTGCAGATTGAGGCATTGACTTCATTGCAGATTGAGGCCATGGCCATTGTGAATGAGAATTCCAAGCTGCAGATTTCAGATTTGCCTGCAGAGTATCATAAGGCCATTGCGAAACTCACACAGTATGAGGTGGAAGTGTGCAGTAGATGCAGGTTCCAACCAGGCTGCTTCTCATGCAGCATTTGGAAGAAGCATATGTGCAGAGTACATGCTGTGAATTGCAAGCATGTGAGTTTCAATATGGAGGACATTTTCAGCAATTTCTAAGAAATGAGCTCAAGAAGCAGTGGAGAAATGAGATTGGGGGAGGGACCGGTTTAATTGTTGTTTTTTTTTGTTTGATTCATTTTGTATTAGTTTCTGAGTTATGAATTGTTTAGTATTGGGGGGGGTCACCCGGACCGGACCAATAGGGGGGGGATTATCAATACGGGGTCAACATTACCCAGCTAAGCTGGGAGAACAGAAATTGGTGCCAGCAGAATGCCCATGTAAGCTTCTGTTGAATATAGTCGAAAGTTGGATTCAACAGGGGCTCGCCTTCAACGACAGTCCACTTTGTTGCGCCTTGGCAACGCTCCCAATTGATCAATACATGATCTGCAGGGCGACACCCCTACAGAATCACATTGAAGCCGAGACCAAGCGCAAAGCTTATCAAATATCGGGCACGTTCTCCGGAACAGCCACCTACATGGAATCCGTTCCTTGAACGATGTGTTGTTAAGATCATGGCGCTATTGTCAAATTTGATTAACATAGACATTTTCAGGGGCGGGAAATATCAGGCTTTGACCAACCCTTCCGGCGGGGATTGCAGTGCCTGAGCAACCACCACATGCCCCCAACGACTCTGGAATATGCAAACAGGGACATCGCAAACCCTCCATTGCAGCGCTTCTACTTGGCGCGGCTGGAATGGGGAGCCCGGGAACTGCAAAGCTGCTGCTTTCCTTGATGGCGATTTGTTGAGCGAATTTAGAGTGGAGATCAGTGGAGCCCATTTTGCTGACTTGGCCTCTTGGCCCCCGTGCCCCCCAGTGGTGCAACGTGTGGTCGATGACTGCCACCGTCCTGGCCCGCCATTGGTACGGCTTGCGCCAGGCTGCCTTCTGCCCTCAGACAGTCAGTCCGAGAGTTGAATGACCGAATGGAGATCAAATAGATCACTATTCTAGTCCGAAGGCAACTGTCTCTCCTTCTTTCTCTCCCTCCCTCCATCCCTCCCTGGGGGCTTGCTGTTTGACTTCGTGCATGGGCGCCGCCTTGTGTCCTCAAACAATACTACAAGCCATCCCATTCCCAAACCTCCCGCGCCAACACTCCCCCCCCCTCCGCCCCCCCACAGCTCAAGAGAACCGGAGCGGCTTGACAGAGACCATGCCCACCCCATGTGCTGCCTCCCTGCCTGCCAGCCTGCCTGCCTGCCTGCCTGCATTTTCTGTTGCCTTGGTCATTGACCTGCTATACCTCCCTTGGTCGGCCGGAGCGGCCGGATCGACGTTAAAATCAATAAACTCCATCTGGCGGGCAAGGGACAACTTGGCCGAGCAACATGCCAAGCAAGCCACATCTCAAAAACACATCCTGACCTGCTGCCAACCAAAGGGCAACATCAAGTTTTCGAAACCCCAAAGCCGGCCAAACTGGCTGAGCACCTGGATGGTGTTTTCACCCCGTTTTGAAGGCAGTATGCAACCCATGGACATGAAAAGCAAGTCACATGTTGGACAGGTCCCCACCAGTCTCACTAGAACACGGCGCTGCGTGGCGCACTCATATTCTGGCCTTACACAAAGAACATGCTTGCTATAGACTAAAACTTAGCTTTACCACTTTTGGACACATGACCAACCTGCAACCGTATGTCAATCATATGCCGGGAGCATGCTAGACACACGCTGGTCTATGCGAGAAATTCCAAATTGACATGTTCAAACTATGCAAGAATGTGCTTTACAAAGTGTTACACATCTATACATGCATATTACATACATCTATACATGCATATATATATATATATACATACATCCATGCAGAATGCCAACCACGTGCCACTAAAATGTGTCAGATCTGTGAAACATATCCTGAAATTACACCAGGAGATCCAAAGTGACAAACATGACAATTCTTAAAACAAACTAAACTCAGCTCCTGTGTACAGCGGCTGCAAACACACCCCCTAGTAGGCCACGGCTGAAAGAAGGCCGTGGGTTTTTTCAAGCAATGTCGGCCCCGAAACCATGAGTCGTGCAGTCACTGCTAGGGGGATTTCCAATGAAGAAATTTTGCAACATCGAATCATGCCATTTCTAGGGGTGCAAAAACATGAGCCTCGCGTTACAAGCAGAAATGTTGCAAACACATGTGTTATCCCATCATGTAACAAAGCTCAGCGCAGCGTGTGACAACATCATGTGACAGCGTGTGTGCAGCGCTGCGCGGGTGCGCTTGAGCGGGCGTGCTTACCATTTGGCAGGCGTGTGTGCAGCGCTGCGCGGGTGAACTTGAGCGGATGTGCTCACCATTTGGCAGGCATGTGTGCAGCGCTGCGCGGGTGCACTTGAGAGGGTGTGCTTACCATTTGGCAGGTGCGTGTGCAGCGCTGCGCGGGTGCACTTGAGCGGGTGTGCGTATTTGGCAGGCGTGTGCAGCGCTGCGCCGGTGACTTGCGCGGGTGTGCTTACCATTTGGCAGGCGTGTGTGTGTGTGTGCTGCGCTGCACGAGTGCACTTGAGCGGGTGCGCTTACAATTTGGCAGGTGCGTGTGCAGCGCTGCGCGGGTGCAGTTGAGCGGGTGTGCTTACCATTTGGCAGGCGTCTGTGCAGCGCTGCGCCGGTGCACTTGAGCGCGTGTGCTTACCATTTGGCAGGCGTGTGTGCAGCGCTGCGCGGGTGCGCGTGAGAGGGTGTGTTCTGACACGCTGAAACTGCGCGTGCCACTGGCGGGGCGCATGAGCGGGCGTTCCTACCATTGTCACCTGCATATGCGCGGAGTCTCGACTGCGCGTGCGCGCGGGGTGGCTTCTCATGCGCTGAAACTGCGCGTGCCACTGGCGGAGCGCGTGAGCTGTTCTTACCATTGTCACCCGCTTGTGGGCGTGGCTTCGACTGCGCGTGTGCGAAGTGTGCAGGCGGGCTTGCGAAAAGTCAAAGACTGCGTTTCGACCCACGGCTTATAGAATCCAACTACAAACAACACAGGTGCAAGGGTCCAAAGTCCGAAATGGGCAGGGAGGATTCTGCCATCTTCCCGCTTTCTGCCGGGAACTTGACCTTCGGCCAGGCCGGCGTGACGAGGTCTTCGTGTTGAAGTCGAAGAGCTCCCCCACAAGGCCAGGCCTGCGGCGCCCATCTCTGCCATTAGCCAATTGGCCGGCCGAGCGGAAGCCAGGAAAGGCCCATCGGTCCATCTTTCCAACTGCAAGGCGCAAGGTTTACAGAAATATGGCTGTGGCTCAAAAAACCGGCAAAATGGAACTTCTGGCTCTTTAACTTTGAGCCACACCCATCTGGCTGTGAGGCCCTGGAAGTTTGGCCGAACTTGGCCAAAGGCACCTCCTTCGACTCGGCCCACCCGGGCTCCCGCACTCCAAGGAGCTCCCCACCGCCACTGGCTGCAGCACTTGCAGGCTAGTGGTGCTCGTGGTCTCGGAGCCAAGGACCCGCAAAGCCAAGCCCCACTGGACGTCATCTGCATGTTGCTTTTGCCCTACGGAAACTACATGTAGAAAGAGAACCCCGCTTCCTTACACCTCATTCATTGGGCGAGTGCGAAGCCACACAGCAGACCAAAACCATCCCTCCCCGCGCTATGTAAACAGCAGTGAACTGTTCGTATTGTGGTCAGCTAAGGCTCAGAAAATGCCCCCAGCATTGCTGGACCGGTGCCAACGGTGCTAGGTCTTCTAAAGTTGGGGGAGCTCAAATGCAATTGAACAACCCGCTCATGTTGACCCCGGATTCATAAACCCATCTTTACTAATATGGGGGTGTCCCTGGTTTTAGTGGGGATTCATCACTTTTGGAGGGGAACACCCCCATTTTAATACGGGGTTTATTCATCCGGGGTTCACATTGACTAGTTCACCCCGTCAATGAACATCTTTGGGCTAGCCGACCCTCCGGGAAGCCCTGCCGTGGGGGTGGGCACGGGGACGACCGCCACCGGCTGCCTGAATGCGGAAATTGTGGTGCGCACCCCGGCAAGTGTGGTGTTGCCTGTGGTTAAACACGCAAAAGAATACCAGCATTTGCCAGATTTGGGTGGTCGGGTCAGAACTCCTGTCTGATGACTCTATGGTCGGTCAATTGGATTGGCAGTTCTTGGCATCCTCCTTCTCCCAAACCAACCATGCCAGGCGATCCATGAGTTTTTGCTTGCTGCATGCCACACACTCAACGGTATTGGTGAGCAAAGTAGAACATGTGAAACATTGTCGAGCTGTTGAGCTTCCAAAGCCGCCAGAGTTGCACAAATATCAAATCATCAATGAGAGTGACAAACGCCCTGACCACGAAAGGAGATGGTCAACCCACAACCCACACCAACCGAAACAAACAGATTAAACTGACTAAACCAAGAAACAATACCCCAAGCCAGCCCATCCACTGCACACCACGACTGCTTTCATGACAGCCGAGGCGAAGGCTGAGGCCATGCAATGCCACACCTCAGCGCTTGGCACCACTCAACAGGGATGAATCCTCCTTCAATTGATGCTTGCCCTTTCAGAGACATGTCGGACAGCTCCGGGACATGTGGGCAATTACTTTGGGCCCCCCTTCGGAAGCAATCAATTTCATCAGACGCGAACGCGCATGGGACGGACAGCTAACCGCCCCTGGATTCACTCTGGATTCGTGCCGCAGCTCCCCACACTGGACTCCAAACATAGCGAGCACGCTGGGCAAAGTCACATGGACACACCGAAACGAGGCTGCGGATCTGCCTCTCTAGCCTTCAGCTGGGTCAAGCAACTAGGCAAAGTCTCTGACACTGGAAGCAGAATCCTGCGAGCGATGAGCGGAGTGTCCTCTTTACATTCACAAACAGAAAGAATATGGGTCACAGTGGATTCAGCATTTACTCTTGGACAGGCTTTACTTCCCCAAGATGTCTCGCGATCGCACGCGCAAAGGTCTGGTCGCAAATCTCAAATCTGCACCCAGCACAAAAATGTTGCATCCTTTCGATCTGTGGCCATCAAAAGTCGCAGTCAGTTGCGGTCCGACCCTGATGAATGAAATGGAAGTACCCTCCCACCAATTAACCTGGATCCTGCCCGGGGGGGGGGGGTCTGGAAAACAAACTGAAAACAATTGTCCTTGTAAAGGGACCCCCTGTCAAGTTCCATGTTAATTGGTGGGAGGGCCTGAATTGCCAAAGCCCTGTCTGACAAAAGGCCGGGAAAGGGTTCAACCTGAGAAGCAAAGCACACAACTGGCTAAGCCCAAAGCAGGTGCGACCCCGGAACGGCCGCTGATGCTTGGCCTCTTCAGAACTTCTGGCATCACCCACTACAGGGGTCACTCAGTCTATCTTCCCCAGGTCCTCAGCCTCCACATGGCGGAAGGCTGCGGGCGATCTTCCGCGTTTCTCAGCTCACACGGGTGCTTGCTGGTTGGGAGTTGGCCCCAGGGAAATCAGCTGAAGCTTCCACCTGTTGGCTTGGCCTGTGGATTGAGTTCAGCCTGTTTTGTGTCCGAAACCTTTGGGTCGAATCACATACACCTTTCTCGCTGATGGGCAATGCTTGGCCGGATGCCAGCAGGTTTTGGCATGTTCTGCTGCTTCGGCCGGTCGAGCCTGCGGCAAATCCAGTCTGTAAGAAAATGCCGTCGTGCCTTTGGGAATCTGGACAGGTTGAAGGACACTTAGGATCTTTCGCAACCTGGGGGCTTCAAGCTACTTCTTGAGGATGCGGCTCACCTTTCCTCGCTCCTTTTTGACCCTTCACCCTTTCATTTTCCACAGGGTGCAACACTGGGCGCGGGCCATCAGTAAGGGCTGAAGGTGTTTACGCCCCCTCATGGCCCCTTGGGCACCTTCAAGCATAAAAAGCACAAGTTGACAAATAGGGATGGCAAGTGGCAGCATTCCGTGATAAGTCCAAGGTAAGGAGCCCCTGATAAAGACAGACCCTGCTAGCGCACGTGACTCTTTTTTGCAGTCGCCCCGTCTCCCAGGCAAACTGCACACTTAGCTCGCAAGGATGTCTTCACCCGAGAGCCGTGTTCTCTGGGCTGCCGCAAGACAAGTGCATTTCTTCCAGGCAGCTAGTCCAACCCCAAGTTTAAGCTGTGCGTTCCGCACAGCCATATCCCAAAATCCAGTACATCAACCAGCTATGTCAGTTTCACCCGCAGCTCTATCACCTTCATGCATCATACCGAATCATACCCATCATACCCATCATGTCAACAGCCCAGTTCACAGCCAGCATCCTTTGCTGCCCCACCGGCCACCCCGGCCGATTCACCCCGTGGTCTGCAGAAAGGCCTAGCGGCCTGGGCCAACCTCCACGCAGCTGAGCTGTTGTTTTCCTCCACTTCGACCAGCCATAGGCGATTGACGCGCTCGGCTAGCATAGACTATGAACCTCATGGATTTCAAAGAGCTGCAAGGCGAGCTGTAATCGCTGCAGTTTCCTCAACCTGGCAAGCCTGCTAGAATCTTCCTGAAGGAAGAAGCAAGTCAAGCTCGTTTGCTAAGCTGCTTCTTGGGGGGAAGGCCACAGTTCCCCAATTCCCCGCACTGATGCTCCAACGAGTGGCAACTCAAACAACTGCTGTATCAATAACCAACCTGCTTATCACCACTCTGTTGCAAGCACAAAGGGCGTGAAGCTACCGTCTTTAGTGAGGATCATTGTCGTCTTTAACTAACTTTGCTGACCAAAGAACAACCTCATGTCCTGCCTTTCCGGTGCAGACCACTTCTAAATGCCAGAAAGTGTTGGGTGCGAATTCACGACAGCAAGGGTATCTCATTGAAAGACCTCAGCATAGTGCCGGCAAGTCCGTGAGTGGCTGACGAAATTATTGTGAGATCACGCTGCTTTGGCCCTGTAGGAGGGCCAAAACGAAGCAATTCACGAGCCAAAACCACGAGGGAGCCAAAATCTGCGTCACACTTAAAACCAGGTGCTGAAGGACCTATCCAAAACCTTGCAAAGAAGCCACAGTGAGTCTGCACCAGCGTGGGGACAGAACCCCACTCAGTCTCAACTACCTGGGTTTTGGTCGTGGTGCATCTCTTTTCAAAGCGAGGTCGCTATGGAAAAGCTGGGTTATCGCCCTTGGAATTGTCACGCTCTAGCGGGCTGAACTGAAGGCAGTCCTCTTTGCAAACGGTTTCCTGCGTGCAAGGAGGTCGGGCATTGGGAAATTCTGGCCCTCATTGCGTACAGTATCCCCTGCTTAGGCTTGGAAAGACACTTGACGATACGTGCACTTGTTTTAGATATGGTTCCTCCGCCCTGGTTCCGAAACGTGGAATCTTTGTTGGTCGGTTTCCTCTTTTGGGGTCCTTTGAAAGCCACCCAACGCAGCACACAACGGTGAACAGACCATTATTCTTTTTGAGGGGGCATAGGGAAAACTTCAGGGGCAGCTGGAAGAAGTAAGTTTTCAATTCATTCAATTGGAAGTGGCTTCAAATTGGAGTGGATCAAGCTGTGCCAGAACGGGAACCTCCATTGTAATTAAGAAGCCAACGGGAGGCATGTCATTCGGTGCTTGTTCGGTTCCAAGCTTCTCATTCCATGGGCTCGCGTCGCCACTTCAACCACTCCCTCATCCCACGTCCCACTGGCTAACCCCGGGTTTGTTCGAACAACTGAGCGAAAGGACCTGGGCCTCCTGCACGCCGGACTTCTTGCCACATCCAGGCTGGGTGCCTGGCTCCGCCCGCTGCTGCTCCATGATCGCCACAAGGCCACCCCTGCATAGAAGCGCCACGGCATTCGTGCACATGAGCTGATAGGACTATGATAAGCGTGTTCTTATGATGCATGGCTTCCTGGACGAACATGCAGATCATACCATCTTGTGGAGTTGACTGAGAACTGCCCCTGTGCATGCAACTGTGAGCACGGTTTCCGCGTGGCTTGGCTTCCCGGCTGTGCCGCGGCGCGAGCCTCGCCAAAACGCTGCTGAGCTTGGCCAAGGCTGGACGGATCTGGGTCTGTTGGCTGGTGCCGCATGCAAGTGCAACCCTACCCACAAGGTGGCCGGCCCAGTGAAACTGCCAGGTGAAACTCAAGCTGACATCTGAGGCGACATAGTGCCGTCATGGACGTGCGGATTGAGCCCTGGCAAATGCAACCTTTCGCTCGAACCGTGCGCTATACTGGAAAACCCATATATTATAGGATGGTTTCCAGCCCAGGGCATGTCTCAAATCAGCTCCTCTCAATCCTCGATTGGCTTCCAGGGATTCCAGGGAATCGCTGGTAGCACAACTTCAGGCACCCGCCAGAACATCATGCAAATTGGCAATCTCTCCCTGGCCACAGGAAAACCATGGAACAACCGTTGTCCCCTACATACAACTCTGCTTGACGTGGACAATGGAAAAACTCACGCTTTGCACTTTGCGGCCATCAGCTTGAAGCAGCCACCCCCGCCTTCGCCTGCTCCGCTTGCAACATCTGGATGCGCCTTTCGGCTGCACATTTCTCCTGGTAGTAGCTTGCATGCGCGAGAGCCGGCTCAAGCTCCCGGCGTAGGGAGTTTTTGAACTGAGCACCCTTTCTGAGACACGAGTGTTTTCTAGCTTCCCTGCGAATTCGGCGAGGAAGTAGTAGAAGAGTACTTGGCAGGCTGGGCATCATGCACCTTTGGCTGTGCCAAACAAACAACAGGCGAGCAAGCAGCTAAGACAGGTTCATTGGGAGAGTCAAAACAAAGACCCCTCTGAAAGCTGGCTTAACAAAAGGCGCTCAAGCGATATTTCAACAACCTTCTATGGACTGCTTGGCAAACAGTGGGAGGCGCGGACCGGGGAAGCAATCAGGAAAACAAAGAGAGGAGCAGGAAGGACAAGCAATCCGGCCGGTGCACAAAAACAACCCAATCCCTTCTTCACGTTTGGCTGGTTGCCCGCTCCTCTTTCAGCAGGCCCAGCCGGCACGTCTGTTCACAGTCTTGCCTTGGCTCTCAAGCGTTTTCACCGGGAAAAACGAAAGCCAATTCAACGCATTGCACAGGAAGAAAACAGGAAAAATCACATGCCCAAGTCTTGGTGCCGTTTGTGGGTGTGTCCGTGACGCTTGGATGCTCTTGGTCTACATCTCCGCCACCAGTTGCAATCATAACCCTTAAAACCTGGTCCCCGAACCGCTCACCCCATCAGGCGCCCGGCCCACCCCAGTTGAAGGCAAGTCGCAGGGCCAATTGAATGGCCCGGACGTTGGTGCCCTTGCAGGCCACCCGCAACTGCTGCGCCTGGTGGGGGGCTTGGCTGTGGACCATCTGTGTGTTCTAAGCCTTCAAGAATGAATTCTTCCCGAATCAACACGTTCTTCTTAGCCCTATGCTTCCAAAGCCTATTTAAAAATAGTCGTTGTGACAACCCCGGTTTTTTGATAAAGACTATTTTTTTGATGACGAGCGGCAGCCTCCGTTTTGGACTGGAACAGGGGCTAGGACAGACTTGACGCTAAGGCCGCCTCATAGGATCCCAAAGCCGAATATGTATTTTCATATGCAGCAATATGTGTTACAATCTTCAAGGCTAGTTGCTTCTATTTTGCTTGGTTTCTTAACATGGCCATGTAGCGCGTGAGGGTGAATCCTCTTCTGACCGTTTCTGTTCTTCTTTTGCCCCACCTTCTTAGCCAAACCAAACAAAACGGGACAGGAAAAATCTTTACCCATCACGGCAACCATTCCAGGATGAGAATGTTGATCTTCTGGGTCCCCTGCAAAATTTGCCCGTTCTACGCCAACAAATAGTGGTTCTACGCCAAAAAATAGTGGTTCTACGCCAAAAAGTTGTGTTTCTACGGTTTTTCTACGCTTTGTCTACGGTTTGTCTACGCTCACGTCGTTTTTGGAGCTGTGTGAAAATTGGAGCGGAAAAAACAAGCACACAATTGCTTGTTGTTCGTGCCACCTGCGCAAATTGCAGAGGACAATTCTAGAATTTGCTAGAATGAAGGCTCCGTCTACGCAAGACTTTCAGCGTGCATTGCGCAAACACGAAAGGGCGCCGAGGACCCTATCAATACATAGTAATCTACTGGCTCCCAAGGCTTCTTAAGAGGTTGCAATAGCAGGCGTAATTTTGATAAACACAAAGTAACAACCCAAAATGGACCCCAAAGACCAATGTCAAAAAATAGGGGTTGTCAATGCAAAAAATAGGGGTTGAACAACCCCTATTTAAAAAATAGTCGAGGAAGCATAGGGTTAGTATGGTTGATTGAGAGGAGCACCGAACTACGGGTCAACTTTTACGAACCCACTTGCTTTACACGGAAAACAAGTAAGCTTTCAATGTGTGCTTTAGCAGCTCTAGCTGGAACATCGAAAATTCCAGCAGGAGGAGCAGTTGAAGGTGAGAAGAGTAAATTTCATCCATGACATGGGGGATTGCTGGACCTTGCTAGGCTATTGCAAGGCCCAAAGCCCCACAGCTTTGGCAGATCTCTCAGGAACATTCAGGAACCCTCGCCCACAAATTTTGAGACTGTCCTCATATCCCTTGTTTCCTCGTTTGGGGAAACACGCAGTGCGGATTCCGCAGGGTTGGACCAACTAGCCCTTGTTGCATCACGTGCCAACTACGAATCTTCAAACATGCTTTTGATTTTCTTTTAAGGGGCCAAGGGCGAAAGTGCTTTTGACTTTTTTAAGGGGGCAAGGGCGACACATTGTTCCCAACCCTGCTCACATCACCTCCGCGCACCTTCTGCGACGCTGCAGATCGAGTGACTGGGCCTGTGGCTGGCCTGGCCAAAACTGCCGGATGGGGCCCGGGCAAAAGCGCAGCGTTTCGTGCGTCTGATCAGCTTAGGGCGGGTGTTAGGGTGGGTTAGTGCGGATTTAGGGTGGGTTTGGGCTGGTTCGGATTGGCTTGGGGAAGGTGCAGAGTGGGTCGGTCTAGCGTCGGTTTAGGGTTAGGTGGAACTCGGGCAGGTTTGGGTCAGTGTAGTTTGGGTTTGACACCGGCCCCGCAGAAACAAGGGTGGCAATCTACGAGAGAAATGCCTTGCAACAGTGATAGGTTGCAGTCAATAAACTTATGCCCCATATTATGCCTGAATGAAGCAGAAATGCGGAAAACAATATGCTTTCCCTCAATGTCTTTCTTGCAGCAGTCAGGCAAACCACGCGTGATCAAGGTGACTGTAAATGAAACAAGCCTGGCAAACCACGCTTGCACCGATCGTGGGATACTTATTGGCCCTGTTGCCCGGATTCCAATAGACACCGTGGCAGTGCAGCCTACGAGGGTGAGAAATGCGCTGTTTGTAATTAGCAAGCTGTCTCCCACAACTGGTCAAGCCTGTGTCTCGGAAGATCCCTACACACACTCTTGGAAAAAGCCAACTCCAGCGATTCTCGAATTCACTGGCGCCAAAATTCGGGATGACGAAAAAGGAAGCAAAAATTGAGGGCCACCTCGTCATGTGTGAGGCCAACCCCCCCCCCCCCCGCACATGGCCATTGGGGCAAATGGGCAACTTCCTGGCCGTATCTCTTTTCCCCTTTTTTTTCAGCATGTCCGCGCCTTGAACTCAACTTGAGCGCCTGGCACCCAAGCCCATCAAAACCCCCGAACCGGACCAAGCGCGGGCCGACAAACGCGTGACATCACCGCTCTAGCCCTGACTTTTTACTTGCAAGAGATGGTGAGTCAACAGTGCACCTAGCGATTGTCGACCCTGGCCATGACTCATGCGAATCGCGGGGATCGACTTGCGATCTCTGAAGCCGATGGTTTGAAAACCAGGGGATCCATACCAGCCGCACATCCAGTGCTCTCATAGTAGCGCTTCTCAAAGAAACTCGCTAGCAATGGGGAAGCCGCAAACTGTTCCTAGCCCATCGTGGCTGACGGGCGGGGCAAATGCTGAGCCTGCTGGCCTAGAAGCTGCAGGGCTAGTTCCGCATTTATGTTTAGTGTAAAAGTTGGCAAATAATACTAATATATCCAAGTGTGATGAAAAGATCTGGGCAATTTACGATAATTAAGAAAAGGAACCATCCCTAAGTGAGGAGTCATCATGTGTGAGATTGTTTACCCCTTGGAGAGCTCGCAAAAAAATACGCCAATGGTGCATGCCGCGTGCTTGGGCTCTCTGTCTTGAGTGCGATCGGATTAAGCGTCTGCAGCCGAAGCACTGGCTTGCTGCATAGTCTGAACAACGCTCTCCCCCGCACCTCCCCCCCCCACACCCCCCTCCCCCCCTCCCCCCAAAAAAAACCAATGCCGCGGCTCCCGCCTTTCTCTTGGGGGCAACGGACGAGTCTCTGGCCTTCAAGGGGAAATCGGAAACATGACCCCGCATGAAACGCTGCGGCCCACAATGCCCCGTGACTCGCAGTAGGTCAGAAAAACCAACATGTCTACAACCCAAATGCCTCGTCATTGTGGAAGGTTGCGCCTCGGCGTGCTTAATTCACTTGTCAATCAAGTTCCGGAGAAGTAGTTTGTAAAGCTTTTGCTCATCCTGTGCAATGTGTCAGAGAGTTTGCGGACCGGCTCGCATCGATAACAAACAACTACTATAAGGAAACACGATTTAAACAAGGAAAGAGATGATAACGATACGATAACCTACTGTAGAAACCTTGCATTATTTCCATCGCATCATATCTTCATTCTAACTTACAATTCCAAGATCAGCTTTTCGTATTTACATGATTCCAAATCTTCAAACACAACACAAAGAAGACCTGTAAGGAGAGATATTAATATAGACATGTACATGAGAGAAGGAAACAACAATAATCAGGCAAATCGAAAATAACAGATTGTGAACAACGTAATGCAAACAGGATGAGGAACAAGGCATAGAAATATGAACACGAAGGTACGCACCGTTCACTCTGCTAGATGTACATATTACAACATAGAAATAAGGTGAGAATCGTCTCACTAAGCAAAACATGATGAAAATAGAAGCAAATAAGATACTTGCAGAAGCTTCAACTGGAGAACTAATATATGTTCGCAGAAATCTTTACAACTAAAAGGAACATGCCTTTTCATTCTTAGTGGAATTCCTTCTAGGGTTGGTATCCATTCGATTAAAAAGTGGGATGGGAGATAAAAACAAAAAAATGCAATTCTTGCAACTCACCATAAACTCATGGGTCCTTTCGGGAAAACATAGCCCGTGGCAACTGTTCCCATTAAGAAGAAGTAGCAAATAACTCCAGAAAATCAAGCATTAGGATCATAAAGTGTGAAGCACAAGGTATAGATCTTCCAAGATGTAGACATTCAAAGGGAAAGATAAATGATGCACCATGAGCACCATTCATAGTACGCTTCCCTAACTAAAAACAATACTGACATAAACCTAAGACGGTTCCAAAGATAACAGCGAGATTCCAAAAAACATATCAGAGGACAACACTATGCTTGCAAATGAGATTTCATTTGTAGTCCCAAAAAGTTTCAACCTGCATAGGCCTTTTCTGCATCATGTGAAAGACTTTGTTCTTCGTATGTCTTTGCGTTATCTTCTCATTGCGTTCTCTTCATTGCCGACGCTCGACATTTCCCTCGCCTGGCTTTGGCTCTGCGCTCGCGCCTCAGGCTCAGGTTGCAGCCGGCGATGGTTGCCCAACATGGACCGCTGAGCTGGCTGACACCCAGGGCAAGGCCAACGCGTGATTTATGCTTCGAATTCCCAGAAACGAGCACGTCCAAACGCGAGCAACTCCTGCCCAACCGCCATAAAATTCAGCCATGGTTTGCATCGACTTTGATAATGTTGCAGCAAGTGACCTCCAGAACTTTTGGCAAGAGTGAGGAGTGCATGCTCCATCGTCTTTGTAACAGAACAGGTCATCATGAGCTATCACCGTCAAAGTAGTTGAACAACGCCCCTTCCTGAACAGGAATCCTCAAAAAGTGGTTGTCTGAACTTCGCCCGTAAGTGTTGAAGCCCATCTTGTCAAGGTTCCTGTTGCACCTCCGTCCTTAGGCGCCCACTGAGGTCGACCTGGACCGGGCCAGAGCAACGAAGACCAAGACTGACATTGCACTTGACTCACAGCGCCGTACAGGTGGAATAACCCCTTCACACTAGCCCGGGACTCTCAGAGACTGTCGGTTACCCTGGCCTGGCGTCTTGCCTCGGCATGGAGCCTGGCAGCCCAGCCCCATCTTCGTAATGTGCGAGCGATCGACGCAGGTCGCACGTGATAAAGGGGGATGAGGCTGGCGAATGCATGGTAGTGAGCAAACTTCATTTTAGTATACTCCAAGGACTCTCATGCTTCCCACCTTACAGACCCACTTTGGCCTGTCTGAATGAACGCAAGGGTTGACCCGATTGCGTTTGCTGCCCCATGGTGCTCAAGAGCCAACGCTGGTGGCTGAAACCTGCTACTATGAGCATGCTGCGCAGCCGTATTGCATCATTTTGGCGGCCAATCAGGATCAAGCGCTGTTGGATCGTAGGGGGACACAAGCAACCATCAAAGGCCCGCTTTGAGAGGCCCAAAGAAAAGTCCAAGCGAGCACAAAAACGTGTATCATTCGATGCTTCCCCCCTTCCATGCCTTTTGCTTGCGGAGGCTTTTCTTGCCGTCTGACCTCAGCATGCAGAAGAAGAAACAAGCACCTGCGCTCAACTGGCGGATGGCGGAAGTTCGCTTTCATAGGGAGAACAACCATCCGGTTTGCTAGGCAAACAGTACTCGTGCTGTTGTATCTCGGGCTGGCAGCCAGGGTGCGGCGCATTTGCTGCCCAGGCCTGGGAAAGCAACCCGCGTGGGAAAGGCTGGGTGTCCGCGCTTTCCTCGGGCGCTCCAAGGAGTCGGAGGGCATCTCGCGGGGCTTGGCGAGTAAACAGGAGGGCATCTCTGCTGTATGCGGGGGCGGGGTCCCAAAGGAGTTATGGGTATGTGAGAGTATCTTTGCCTCAAAGTAAGGGAGCCCAAAATGGTCTCTCTCTTTTTTGTGGTTTGTTCCGAGCAAAACCAAGCTGAAAAGGGCATCCTCAAAACAGAATACCCACCCACGTGGCATTTCAACATGGCCTCCCCAGCAACTCCTGGATCGTGCAGAACTAAGCTTGGCGTTGAAGCCCACGGGCCCAACATATAATCAGCTGATCCCGATTTAGCCTGGCTCCAAGGTTACAAAAGCGAACCAGGAGCAAGTCATTTCCTGAGGCACCTGGTGGCTCGCACTGCCCTCTGGGCTCGGGGCACATGCCTGCCGAACTGGCTGAGACCTGAGCGCTGCTTTTGTCAGTGATCAGTGCCCGCTGCGCGTTGCAAAGTCTGGTCGGGAATGTTTTTGTAGGAGCACCCCCCAAAAAACACAAAAAACACATACCGCAACCCACTGCACGCCAGTTGCAGGGTACTGGCAAGTTTCCGCCACGCTGCCTCTCCCAAGAGATGAAGTCGGGACTGGCTCCCGCATCTTGACACAAGTCGGGAATTAATCTTTGTTGAGCTAAGTCTGTGCTGTCAGCAGGGCTGACTCAAAACTCGCTCATACCAAATAGAAGCCGGCAACGCTGCGGTGTCTATCAATTCCGCCTGAACTGTTCCTGCCTGTTGACATTACATGGCGACTGCTCTTTCTGCTCCAAGCAGTTTCTGGCTGAATTAAGAGCATCTCTGAAACGCTGAGGCACTGAGGGCCGTTGACTTTGATCCCTTGGTCCCCCTCAAAGACTACAATCGCAGCAATCAGTGAAAGCACCTGTTGGGGGAGGGCGTGTTCAGACCGCTCTATAAACCTCACGTACCAAACAAACAATTTCTGAGCATTCATAGCTTGGAGCAAACACCAGCTTGTAGAGGGTCAGCGTGGTCCAAGTGGCTTCTCCTTGCGGTTAGGCTCGCTGAATCACCCGTCCAGGCATCTGGGGCGAAGGCTGGCTTCTGCTCCGCAACTTGCTGCAGTAGTTGGGATCAACTCAGCGTGCCGACGTCCACATGTGCATGAAGCTTGAAACGGCCGCACGATTGCAGGAGTTGAACGACTTCAATGCAAAGAAGCTCCCCCCATCAACAAAGTACCGATATTGATAAAATTTTGTGCGGAAGACGGAGAAGCCCTGGGTGACCTGGACACACTAGCCGAAATTGGTTTCATGACTGCACCGCTGGTGATTTGATACGACGGGTGCACGGAAGGTAGCTCTTTAGAATCCTTCACTTACAAGCATCAGACTTCATTAGCTCAGCACTAGCCGTGATTCAACAGCTCGCACGCTAGGGCCACTACAAGGCAACATGTCTCTTGCCGCTATGGGGGGTTGCCAGCAGTTGAGCCGCAATATCTGGCGGCAGTGGTCCCAAAGGAGCTGGGTGACATCAAGAGCATGGCTGTCAGGGATGCTAGGACTTAAGAGTCGACGAGCTTCCGATGGCCGTGCTGTACTCATCCTTCAGCCCATCACCGCTCAAAGCGAAATCTTTTGTCGTTCACACTGAATACTCCTGTACCGGGATCACACCGGCTTCAGGGTTTGCATAGCTGAAAATGAGCATCCTCCAATTTGGGCTGCCCTGGTAACAATAGTTAGAAACTAGGGTGTCTACCAAGTTCGTTTCCCTAAACTTTCCTGCAGTTGATGGGAAAAGGCAGTTAGGGCAAAAAGTTGTTGTGCCTTACTTCCGCCGCTTTCATCCATGCCTTGACCCGCGCCATACATCTGGTTGAAACACGAGGGTGTACCTTTGGAAAGTCCCGGCAAAGCTCCAGGCTGACGGGTGGGTGTCTTCGCCGTGCAAAGGCCTGGGCTGGGGCTGAGCTGGCTCAAAGAAGACGGACCCGCGAAACCGGCAGACATGTGGCACGGTGGCTTTTCCAAGTACCCTGCCAACACTGGCGTTTCTTGAACGCGTCTTTGTTTTTTCCAGTGAAAATGCTGAAGTCGCAACACGGGGCAGCTTAACAAATCAAAGTCAGTGTTGGGCACCCAACTGGCACAAATACATTGCGCCCACCGGTGGCCCCTTTATCTAAGGAACCCATCAGCCAAATGACGCACCGGAACTGAGTTAGGTCCCATGCCCTGGCAGCCGACCAGACCCCAAAAGAACCCCCAGGCTCGAACGGCAGGGAGCAACCAGTTGACCAACGCAACGGTTCGATGAGGATCTTGGACTCGCAACGAGGACCAGCGCGCCACCCCCCACCCCCCACATCCCCCCACCCCACCCCCGGCTTGGCGACCCCAGCGCGAGGTCCTGGAGCTGCCTCGGAGACATGGTTCTGCGCGTTTTCTGTGCAACCTGAAAAACAAGAAGCTATTCTGCCTAGTGGCCTCAACCCAAAGCTCCAGTGGCCGGAAGGAAAAAAAGCGCCTTGATCTTGAAGCCGAGAAACCCCGTCCAAAGCAATGGACAACGGCCAACAAACAAAGCATGGCATCCTCATTCTGGGCCGGCGGCTGCTTGGCCAGCTGCTCCTGCCGGGCAGACTCTGGCTGTTTCCAGAGACGGTAGATGCCCAGGAAATGGCAATGCCTCTGGCTTCGTTTGTGGGAAAGTTCCTTTCTGCTTGCTTTGGTGAAAACAAAGGCCTGCTCAGTACAGACTGGGGAAGCAAGCGAGCCCTGTGTCAAGGCTGGAATTGCTCAACACAGGCCATTGCGAAAGTGCGCCAGCTTCGAAATTCTGCCCAACGGAACAAGAATTTGCGCTCCCGCTGATGCCTCCTGATTCCCTGAAGCCCTTTCGCCAAATTCTGGGAAGCCTGGACCCAGAATGGCCACTCAATGCTATTTCAAATAATTCATGCCTCAGAATTTGAATGAGTTGCCGAGGACGAACAAGGAATGTCCAATTGCCACTGTTCGCCCTCCCCTATCGAAGCAGCATGGTCGCCCCTTTCGGGAACCTGACAGTAAGACAAAGAGCCTACACAACTGCCCATTGTTAAGGCAGCATGACTCAGTCTCCTACTTTTGGCAGTCCTGCGACAAATGGATGACTGGATGAAAGAGCCAATCCTGACACATTTCAAAGTTATATCGCTTCGGAGGCATAATTAATTGCCTGAAAGAGCTCGTGACCGGCAAGCTCAACTGCTCAAATGCTGAGGTGTTCTCCCAGACCATCCATGGTGTTCTGGCTCGCGTGGGCTTTCCCATGTTCGACCTGCTTCATCTGCCCCTGGGACATCCTTGGATGAGTTGGATAGGGTGTGACAGGTTTGGTGCCCAGCAGCTTGCCCAGCCCTCAAGGCCCTTGCCTGCAAAGGTCGCAGGCGCGGCCCCTCCGATGCGAGAAACTCATCGATCGCTTGGGTCCAAACCCGCCAATGGGAATCTACTAATTATCATGGCAAGCCTCTTCGGACCGAGACTGGCATGAATCACAGTGGGAAACCAAAAAGTCCAAATGTGGCTTCCCACCTATGGCTTCAAAATCAGAACAAGCTAGGCCGAATGTGACAGCCAGGAATGTAGACTGCCCGGGCGATTGCCTTTTTTCCGACTCGGCCATCCAATCGCGCGGAGCTCACCTCAGACCTTGAAGCCGCGGGACCTACGGCGGCCGCGGGCCTTCTCGAACTTGCGGCCCTTGGAGCGGACATAGGGCGCGGTGGTGGAGCCCGGCACGCCCGGGGCGCGGCCGAAGTGGCGCAGGGACTCCCGACTCTTCGGGCCGCGCAGCAGCACGGTGCCCTTGCCCAACGGACTGCGCATGGCCAGCGTGTCGAAGGTCAGACACTCCCCGCCGGCCTTGAGGATCCGGGCACGGGCCGTCTCTGTGAAGCCCAAAGCGCACACCTTCAACTGCGGCACCTCGTAGGTGCGCTTGTCATCCGTGACCTTGCCCACCACCACCACGATTTTGCCCTCCTTGTTAAACTTGATCACCTTGGACAGCGCGAGCGGCGGCTGGTTCCTCCTGGACATGTTCAGCCGCTTGTAGATGACCTTGTTGAACTTGGAATCCGAGCGCCGGGCCAAGAACTTGTAGAGCTTGCACAGCAACAACAGGTACGGGTTCTCAGACTTGACTTCTCGCAGTTTGTTGCTCTTCTTGCAGCGACCTCCTGCAATGATATCGATTCCCATGGTGCCTTCTTCGCCTGCTCTTGCAAGCGGGGCGAAAAGGCCGCTGGCCGACTACCGCTGACCAAAATGGCTGCACGTAGGCGTCAACTCGCGTGTAGTTCCCAAAAATGGTGCAACAGTCACGGAGTGGTTGTCCAGCTAACATCTTCTGGGCCCAGAATCCGACAAATAATAATCATGACTCGCTTACAATGCCAATTCTGTTGGCACTGCTGCCCTACCATGGAGACAAATGGCGGACAAGAGCCACGAACAGCCAAACATACCCGCACACACACACACAAACAACAGCGGTTTCAAGGAGGTTCAACTACTCATGATGCTTCATTGGCTGACCTGCGCAAGAATCAATCAGATACGAGACAAAGCTAGCTGCCTCCTGGCGGGAGGCCCTGCAAAGGCGGCCTGGGCGGGCAGCAGAAAAGGCTTGCTTCGTCACGGAACTGAATTGCTCGAGACAAACAGTAGCAAACGCTCCCCTTGTTGGGGCATTGTGTTGCATAGCCTTTTCCATGACATTCCAAGCATTCAGCAAATCATGCAGGGTTGTCACTGCCCCAGGGCAAAAGGGGGTTAACCTGGAGTATCATCAGTATCTGACCGTCCTACAATGGCTTCACATTACCTCCGTTTTTTGGTGTCATTGGGGTAGTGGAAGCACCGGCGGAGTGAGCTCATTATACTGTACTTTGCGAACATGCCGAACATGCCCATGGAGCAAGCAAGGATCCTCTGAGGCACCTGCGCGACACTGTCATTCCTGGCTCACTGAACCAAA